CCCGGGTTTTTTTTCCTCCAAAAAGGGTGGGGGGAAAATAAGGTTTTGGTCCCCTAAATTTTTTTTTTTTTTTTTTTTTTTTTTTTTTGTAAAATTTCTGCCGCTAGATGATGGTTCAATTCATAGGAAAGAGAGTTTTCTGGGACACAACAATGATCTGCTTCTGCCACATGGAGAGGTTTGTTTCCCTTTTAAGGTGGAAAACAACAGCTAACGTATTAATGTCTTGAGCAATAGTCAGCCGTTAGCTGCGTTTCCATTACAAATGTGTGCAAAACTTGGTTCATATTCTGCTAATGTTGAATAAGCACAATTATTGCTGTGTTTGCATTTAATAGGAAACACAATTAAAATCACACACAAATGAATTTGTTCACATGAAAAGTCATTAAAAACATCCTTCTGCCACTTCCTAGTGTCTTCTTTGTCGTTTCTGCCAGTAGTAACCTCTAGTTGTTGATCATGTGACTTGTGCAATGCAAAAAAAGTTTCAGTTTTGAGAAATCCACCAATTCTGACAGAGCAAATAAACCACCTCGTCCTAGGGCAAAAGCCATTTAATCAAAAAACGTTTTTTGTCAAAATTGCTGTGCTTCCATTAAGCAAATTTATTTTTGTAATTCCAATTTGTGCAATTGTACTGCCAATGGAAATGGAAAAGTCAGTGTTTTCTAAGGCAGCATAGCTGTCTTTCCTCCCTGCATAAGCAGTCTTCAGACAGAACAGAAAGCAGAATCAAAATAGAGAGGAGAAAGTTAAAAAAAAAAAAAAAGCAACCAAAAATTATAAGCCACCCGCTCTACTCTACATCTGAGGCGTCGTTATCAGAATGGAGGTAGTTGTTGCCTTTTACCCGGATGTAGTGGACGTGGTTGTCATCGCTCGCTGGCAAATCTCCACAAGAGCAGAGCCGCCTGGCGAACAGGTTCTCGATTTCCTCCAGCTGTAAGCCCTTCGTCTCCGGGAGGCAGCAGAGGACAAAGAGGAGCCCCAACACCACCAGGCCCGCGTACAGGAAGAATGCACCTGGGAGACAGGAAGTCAAGCAAGGGTCTCTGGTGATGTTGTTGTTTTATTTTGGAAACCCTCAATGGATTAGCCAGGATTAGCATGTACCCACCAGAACAGAGAGTAAATACTCTTGTGGAAACGTTTTAAAAGAAGACAAACGAGTTACAGTTTAACGGAGCGATGTGCAGGTGTCCTGAGCATTACCCTTACCGTAATACGTCAGATACTCTGCAACATGGAGAAACGTCAAAGACACCAGCACATTGAAGATCCAGTTGACGCCAGCAGAGCAGGCGTTTCCGGTGCTGCGTGCCCACAGCGGGTAGATCTCTGAGTTCACCGTCCAGGGCATCGTGCCCATACCTGCAACACGCATAGCGTCTCTGAATTTTAAAAATAATTGTCAACTTAATCAGTAATCGATTAATCGTTAACTGGAGTACACAGACTCAATAAAAAGGGCAAGTGCTGAATGAACAACAAACTCAGAGCCAAAAGTATATGAAAAAATATAATAACCATTTTGCATCTGGGATTAAGATAACAAAAAAAACTTTGTACAGGTGTTCTGCTCCTCAAGGGGCCTAGTTTTAGCTTCACCCAGTTCTAATTCTGTTAAAAAAAAGAAAAGAAAATTCATAGGAAAGAGAGTTTTCTGGGACACAACAATGATCTGCTTCTGTCACAACAGCTAACTTATTAATGCCTTGAGCAATAGTCAGCCGTTAGCTGCGTTTCCATTACAAATGTGTGCAAAACTTGGTTCATATTCTGCTAATGTTGAATAAGCACAATTATTGCTGTGTTTGCATTAAATAGGAAACACAATTAAAATCACTATCCAATTATAAATCGGTTCTTCCAAAAATAAAACCACAACAAAAACCCACAACAGGCTACCGTAGAATTAAGATGTATTCTTTCAGCTGCAGATGTATCCTTTGCTACAAATGATCAAGCGCACACTAAGAGAAAGTTATGTTGTTGCATTTTAGGCAATAAAATTTTTATTTTCTTACTTAAAAAAAAAGCAATGGAATTATTTGGGGGAGGGGGGAGTTTCACATTTCTTGTCTTGCATAAAACAGGCTCAAGTGTTTAAACAAAAAATCTGCAGATTGTGCCAATATTTCTATCAGATTAATCCGTCAGAATAATCAATGGAATAATCTATCACTAAAATAATGAACTGCTGTATTTGCTAGCTGTTGGTGTTTCACTGTAGGAAAAAATGGATGTTTGTTTCATTTTTTTTCTCAGTTAATGTTATGATAATTCTTCCCATTTTGTGAGAAATCAAAGTTTTGTAAATAATTCCTATTAAACATATGTCATAAAAAACAAACAAACAAAAAAAGACTCATCTTTACATGATAAGCAACTTGTTATCCGTTTGAAAAGAAAAGAGGTGATCTGACCTGGAGCAAATGATGCGAGATAGAGGATGAGGCCCAAAAGAACAACCCAGGAGTACGATGTGGGACAGTAGTTGTAAGCCCAATATGGGCTGAAAGATTCTTCCGTCCGATTAGAACATCTGGATGAAAAGGGAAAAAAAAGAAGGAAGAAAGCAGACTGGTTTTAGATGTTAACAAACTCTACACTTCCAACTCAAAGCACGTGCAGACGGTGTTCTGACCTTCCCCAGGCTGCGCTGTCGGTCGATGCCGGACTGACAGGAACGCAGGAAGAGTTGAACACGCCGGCGTCGTTTTCGAGGTAACAGAATCCACAGTCTGGATCCAACATGCAAGGTTCACAGGACCTGGCAGAAGGAAACATGGTTAACCTAAACATGCCTGCAGAAAAAAAAGGCTCTCATAAGAAATTAAACAGTCATTAAAAAAAAAGCCAGCCAAGTAGTTAGAAGTTTGAGATGAAACAAGACAAAAGTCTAGTCAGGTCATGTAACTGTAAGCATCCACTCATGTTTAAAGGGGCAGTATTATTTACACAAACATAGTGCCATTTTATAGCATGATCAAGTAGTCATGTGACCTTAAATGTTAAAAAAAATGCCATATACATCAAACATGACAAAAGGAAATTTTACTTAAAAGTAATTTGAAATTGGGCCTCTGTGTCTTTAAGAAACTCCTGCTTTGTCTGGAACTGCCTTCAGGAAGTCATCACAACACGGCTCCTCTATTAACCCTTTAACAACGTTTTTACCTGAGAAGTAGCTCCTATTATGAGCTCAGGTGTTTGCTAATTGCTGCTGGCTAGTCTGAAGGAGCTGAGCGGGGGAGGGATGGGGAAGAGCAGCTCTGAGAGACAGAAGACTGTAAAGGTAGAAGGTAAAATGACTACAGCAAAATAAAGGGAAATCTCTGTGAGATCATTTGTTTCCATCAGTCAGAGAACATCTATTTTCCAACAGGACAGCGACCCGAGGCACCCACGTAGAGAAACACGAGGTGGTTTGTGATTGCAGTTAAAGATGCATTTAATAAACACTGACCCGAATTGGGTGAAAATTTATGCAGTCACTTTTATGTTACTTATTTAATTTGATTGTCATTATTTTGAAGAAATCTGTGCGTTTTTGTAAATTTTTTGGCCAAAAATGCCTAATTTTGTTGGTTATAACGAATTTCAAAAGGCAATAAAAGGGTAAAACTTCCAAGGGGGTGAATACTTTTTACAGGCATCGTATGCAGCCATGCTTTATGAAAGGCAAATTGTGAGTCACCTGTATTTGTAATTTGTGCCAACTTGCAAACTTGGTGCATTGCTCTTCACGAAAAATATGCGGCATAAAAACATTCGACATTTTACTGCAAATGGGAAGTTGGAATTTCAAATAAACACACATGTAAACAGGAATCCTAAACAATCAGGTTTACAGACTCAGAGGAGCAGCTTCCCTTAAATCAATTCCTGTAAATATGCCATGTTAAATGCTGAGAGTATGATTTTACTATCATTCTCAAGAGAACCAGAAAACGGCTGAAATTAATTTGTGGGTAAAACCAAAAGTGAGAACAAAAAATTAGCCTTCTTAGGAACAGTGACGGTTTCGTTTAGTGCAGCAGTGGAACTTGAGAAGACGCCCATCTTTGAGCAGTCGGTTTCTCTAATAGGAAAATAAAAAAGGGAAGTGACTCCTTTGTGAATTTGGTTTTCTCACTCATAAAGTCTGCAGGTGGAATTGTGAAAGTCGACGGGGTGGAGCGTGACAGGAGGAGAGTGTTGGGCCGACAGCAGGAACCCCACGGCCAACAAAGTCAGACTCAGTCCAGTTCCTGCGTCAGAGTAAATAAAAGCTTTGAGACAAACATTTCTGAAATTTAAAGGGGCAGTATTGTGTTTTCTAGGGACATATAGGCTTTTTATACCACAATCAAGTAATTATGTTACCTTCAGTTGTTATAAAAATGCTGTATATATCCAAATATGACTTTAAAAAAAATTTGCTTTGTAATTTGATGCCTTGAAATTAGGCCTCTGTCTCTTTAAGAAACTCCTGCTCCTTCTGAAACTCTACTTTCAGGAAGTCATCACAACATGGCTCTTCTATTAACCCTTTGATAATGTTTTTTACCAGCCTTGCACTGAGAAGTAGCTCCTGTGATGAGCTCAGCTGATGCTCAGTTCCACCAGATGTTTGCTAATTGCTGCTAGCTAGTCTGAAGGAGCTGAGTAGGACAGTGGAGGGTTGCTCTTTGAGACAACACTCCAGGAATGTTTATGAAGAGAGAATAATATTATAACATGATGCACAGCTCAAAAAAGCTGTTTTCACACAACACTACCCCTTTAAGAAGTCCTCTTGCCATTCAAACTGCTTTTCAAGCTAAAATTTGATAATCTGAGCAGTTACGAACCTAAAAGACTGCCTAGCGTCAGCTTCCTGCGGCCCACCCTCTCCACGAGCCAAACTCCCACCAGGGTGAACACGAAGTTGGTAGCTGAGGTTGCACCAGCCAGCCAGATCGCCTGTTTGTCTTCCCGCACCCCGGCCATCTGCAGGATTGTGGCGCTGTAGTACCTGGACACGAACAAACAGAGCAATGAGGTTAGCAGAGAGAGGTAAAAACGTGTCAGATGTGACAGGACAAGCAGGGCATACATGACTGTGTTGATCCCAGACAGCTGCTGGAACATCTGGAGGCCACACCCGACGATGAGAGCCCTGCGAGTCGGTCCATAGCTGAGGATGCGCAAAATGACGACACCTCCTGAAAACCAAGAGTTAGAGTTTCCAACGTGACGTTAAAGCTGCAGTATGTAACTTTTATGAAAAATAGTTTTTTTTTGTTTTTACATATTTGTTAAAGCCGTCCCCATGTCGTGACAGTATAATATGAGACAGATAGTTTGTGAAAAGATGGATCTCCTCCACCTCCTCCCCGAGCTGCTATGCCCTCTGAAGAAAGTCAACAATCATTTCTTACAACCAATCAGAGCCAGGAGGCGGGGCTTAGCGCTGTCACTCAACCTCATGTTTACAGCTGATTGAATGATGGTTTGGTGATGAAAATAGCTCATTTAAAGTATTGGCAGAGGGAGGATGGGAGTGGGGGGGGGTCACAAAATACATTAAATTAAAAATCCAAAAATGTGTTTATTGTGAATTTTCTTTTTGTTGTTGTTGTTGTTGTTTTTGTTTTACTAGTTCAATAATAAACAAAATGTTTATGAAATGTGCATATCCAAAACATAAAAAGGACTTTTGCCTTAGTAAAAGAAAAATGGAAAATTTCCACATTTTTCACACTTTTTGGAGCATCAACTGTTTTCTATTTTATTTGCCAGATGTTTAGGGGTCAGAGGTCAAAGAAAGTCTTGTCAAGGGCCACAAATGGCTTAGAGCGCAAGGTTCCTAACCTTTTCCATGCCATGGACCCATAGGCGTAGGAAGCGGGGGGGACGGAGGGGACATGTCCCC